AGTAGAAAAGTGACTTAGAAATTTATATAGAAGCAAATAACTGAGCTAATATTGAGAAAGTAAAAATGAAAAATGAAGTGTAAGATGTAAAAAATAATGCATCTCCAAAGGTATATGAATTCAGATAGCACAAACATAGATAGTAGATCTGTAAAATAGGTAGAAAAGTGCATGGTACTTGAACAGTACAGACAACTAGAAGAGAAGAAAACATTCTAAAGTATAACTCTCTGAGAATAAAGAAAGACAGCCACTAGCATTAGGTAAAGAAATCAGTGACGAGCGTTTCTACATACTGTTTAGTTTATCCAAGCAATATGGAGTGTGCATTACATCTCACTATTTTCGAGGCCTGAGATATGATGACAAAGAAGACAATTAATAACTTCATTCCAGTGAAGAGTAGGTTGGAATAACAACTCAATAAAACCAAAAGGTAACCAAAGGGCAGACATTAAATATTGGAAGGGCTGTGAACAAATGAAATGGTGTGATATGACAGAGATGCCTAAGGGAGCACATTAGTTTTGGGGTTTAAGATCTGTGTGTAAATGATGAGATGATGCTAGTCACATGGTGATCTATAAAGAAGTATATTCCCAACAACTGGAGTCATATCTGGGCAGAGCATGGGGTAGAGATAGGCATGCTTGTTTTCTATTTGTGTCAAAAGTGTTCATGGGTGTGTGTGCTAGGAAATGATGTCACAGAACAAGCTTCTTGCCACGAAGAACATTGCTAGTCACAGTAAACTGCTTCCCATAGCTGGATGTCAAGCCCTTGTTCGAATGCTGAAAACTTTTTTTGTTGTGTGTTTTTGTTTTGTGCTTTTTCGAGACAAGATTTCTCTGTGTAACAACGCTGACTGTCCTGGAACTCTCTCTGTAGTCCAGCCTGTCCTCAAACTCAGAGATCTGTCTGCTTCTGCCTCCTGAGTGCTGGGATTAGAGGCATGTGCTACCACCACTCAGAATGATGTACACATTTTTTAAAGTTTAGTTTTTTTGTAACATTTCTGTTTGAAACTCATATACTTCATTTTTACTTCTCTCATTATTTCTCCTGGATTGAACCATATATTTGTTAGGTAATTGCTGCACTACTGAGCTGTATGTCAAGTATCCCCTATTGCTTTTTCTTTCTTTGCTTTAAAATTTGATGCATGGTATCACTCAGTTGTTAAGGCATACATTTTAAACTCTTTTCTTGTTTATGTGATACAATACTCAAACTAAAGCAACCTAGGCAGGAAGGGTTTGTCTTGACTTAAACTTCAAGACTGTAGCCAATCACTACTGAACCTTCTCAGCCGCAGGAGTTAGAGACCATTGTATCTGCAGTCAAGAAGCAGACAATAAAGAATGAATGCTTGTCCCCAACTCACTTTCTCCTTTTTATACAATCCAAGATCTCAAGCCATGGAAAATGGGCAGCTCTTCCCATCCATGTTATCCTAGTAGATAAGCCTCTACACATAAGCAGAGGCTGACCTGACTTAGTCCTTCACTGGCATGCCCAGAGCCTTGTTTCCTAGGTGGACAGATCCTGTCAAAAATGAACCATTAAAACATAAGATTCCTTATATCAGAGGTACTTAACAGTAAGATTCTTTGGCTATTTTGTCAGTCCTTGGACTCCTTAGAAGATCTACTGGCAGGGGTTGCTACTGGCAGAAGTAAAGACCAGCTAGGTCTTTGTCTCAAGCTGTAGGGCCTTTGTGTTAGATCTATAAGGAGAAGTAAAAGCTAGCTGTGTGTCATCTTTATCATCTATCTGTGGTCCACTTTCCTATATTCCTATCTATCAGGAATCTGTGTAACTCCTAGTCGTTCTTCAGAAGCAGCTGTTACTTTTAAGGGCTAGCCATTGGTGCATACCCATAAAGATAGGTGCCCTAGTTTGCATCAATCTCTCATCTCTCAGACCTGAGAGAAAATTAATGACTGACTGACTAGTAAGGATTCAAGATGTTGAACTAAAGAGAATCACAATAAATGTAACCTAAAAACAGGATGAAATTGCTTCTGGAAACAGTTATCATTGTCTAAATTTCACTTATACATGGACCATTTCCAAGAAGTCAGGCAGAAAAGAACTTTAAGAGACCAAAATGTCAAACGGGAAAATTGGCAACTTCTCCGTATTGAATAAGGCATTTAAGACCAACTGATTGAGAGGTGACAGAGGTGACAGAAAGAATGACCTAGACCTGTACTGAAGAGCTGTGATGGGCTAGACACCAAGAAAAAGACAAGTACAAAATACCCCCAGTGGTCAATCGTACCTGGCAAACATAAGTCAAGTCTCCTCCTGAGGAACAGAATGTGACCTGGAGAGTGACAAATTGACAGCATATCACAGTCACCATTTCAGTAAGAAAGTTATAAAATAGACAAGAAGTAAACTAGTTGGCCCCAAATTAGGGGAATAAATATAAATAAACACAGATCAACGGATATTTAAGATACCAATTTGAACTTTAATGTAACTGCACAACATGCATAGGAAAATGTATGTTTAATACTATTTAATGTGTTCATAAAATAAGACATTCAAGACAGATCCAGGATAGATTTACCGGAAGTGTGGGTCTATCAGCTTCCCCTTTGTTGTTTAAATTGACCAATCCTAAAGTAAGGGGAGAAAACCTCATTCCAATCCACCCAAGATCCTTACATCCCCCATCCACTCGGGAGAAGCTGGTCAATGACTTCCTGAGTCTCCCTCTGCTTCTCAGAGCTCTTGCTGTCTGTGTTCCTTGCTGTGCATTTGTGTACATTCTCACCCTTGATAAAATTAGATTTCATTCATCATTTCTGTCTGCCGTGTCAGGGATTTTCCCTGCCTCAGTTGAAAATTTTCCTGGTTTTTAACTTCTTTATTTGAAAATTAAGACATTCAAGATAGGCCCAGGATAGAATTACCGGAAGTGTGGGTAGAAAATTAAACTTCTCTACACCCTTAGACATTAGGTTAAAATCCGTGGAGAAATTCTAGTTCTTTGCCATGAATGTCTCCTTTCCTGGAAATATTAAGTGTCTTTCATCTTACACAATTCTCTGAGTTCCCTGATGTCTTCAAAGACCAGTTTCTTGTTTCTGGTGTGTGTGTGTGTGTGTGTGTGTGTGTGTGTGTGTGTGTGTGTAAGGGTGTGCGTGCTTTCCTTTCTATAGGTTAGTTGTAAAGTCCATCATACCTAGAAGTAAAATCCTCTGTACCTTTTAAAATGATATTGCCATCAATATTGCTTAGTTCTTTTGTATCCTTGACATTGGACTATTATGATTCCAGACATATATCAATATGACCAGGAGCTCTCATCACACTGACGGAAGACTTTTTGAATGCCTGAATATTTGCCCTAGTAACCAATTCCTAATTTTCTGCTTGGATTGGGATGAAAGACATCATGGCAGACATTGTGTTTTCATAATAGTGTTAGAGCATTGATTGCTTTTATATTTATCATCACAGCACACAATTAAATGTTAAAGTACTTAGCAATTCTTCCATTTTCAAATTCTTAGTGGATAAGGAGATATAAAAATAGATTGTCTAATAAAATATTAGAGGCATGGTGATTCTAGAAAGGAACAGTGAGAACATCACATGGAGTAACAGAACATTGGTGATTTAGAGTTCAGGATGCCTAAGGAAGAGAGTGCTGAAAGAAGATGCTCTAGTGATGGACAGGGATTCAGGCTTTGCAAACAAAGTCGAGAGACTGGGCTTTGATATAAAGCCAATGGCAAGTCATTTCAATATTTTTTAAATGACAATTAAAATATAAAGGTTTCTTTGTTTCTTTATTTCAATATGATCAATCTGAGAAAGAAGGAATAAAAGCAGCCAGTTTAGGAGTTCATAACCACTCTTTGTGGATGCACTATGATAAATGGTGAGAAGCAGTTCCATTGGGAACTTCCTTAGGGGTGTAATGGATTTGGTGGCTGTGGTGGTTAATCTTGCTTCTCATTGTGGATGGATGGAGAAGAAAGGATAAAGTTAGTTGGCTGTCTGTATTGAAGCAATAGTTGCCAGTAAATTTCCTGAAACTCATTTCAGTAGAGCAAGAAGCAGACTCAAGAGTGGAGTAAATAGGATACTTTTTGGCAAGGTATGCAAGCACTGATACTGACAACGAAGAGCTCATTCAGGTATGGGATTACAAAGAAGGAGTAAGGCAATAACCAGGAAAGTGTTTTAAATATATCCAGGAAGATCTCTGTTTGCTTATGTGTGGAAAGTATACACTACAATGGTATGAGTTATTTGACATGGGAAAGAAAGAGCAATAGACAATATCATAGGCAAAATAGCCAAAGAAAAGAGAGGAGTGTGGACCTGTAGCTCTTCCAAGTCTAAGGGGCTCCCTGGTGATGACTTTTCTTTGATCTTTGAGGTGGAGTGTGGGACTTTTGCCTGAAGGTAGTGGTGTGATTTCTAAGGACAGTTGTTTTCTGTGGAGGACAGGAGAGAAAGGAAGCAGGGAGCTTTGTGTGAGTTCAGTTAGCAGATTTTCATTTGATTTGCTCATGTTAGGAAGATATGGGAACTAAGGGAATTGAAGAAAAGCATGGTTGATGTAGTGGACCACGAAATCTCAGTGCAGGGCATAATATAATGTATAATATTCTTCAAAGACAGCTTGCTCTGCCTTAAAGGAATCTTCTAATGCCATTTCGTTAAATAGACATACACACTAGTTCATGGGTTGAACTGACATTCTAATACTATGTTCTTCTTAACATGCACTGACTTCTTTATAAGCCAGATTCACCATCCCTGAAGAGCTGTTTAATACACAGCTCCTGCTCTTTGGTACATTTAATACTGATCACATGACAAGACATGTTTGCAAACGTCTATAGTTCACTGCACAAACTCAAGACTGATTTCACAGTGCTTGTGGTTATCAATAAATGCTATTGTTAGTGTGCATGTGAAAGAAAGACAGAGACAGAAAATGTACTCTTCTTGCTGTCATTTTATAAAATAATGTACTCACTTTGGCAGCACATACTAAAATTGGAACTATACAGAGATTATCGTGGCCACTGTACAAGGAAGACATGCAAATTTATGAAATGTTCCATAATTTAAAAAAAACATAATGTACTTACACTGAGAGCAAAATAATATTTTGTGTTTCTTTAAAAGTCACAATCACTTATTAATGTGGCTTGCGCACCTGCTGGGCATGATACAAATTCCCAGACTTAAGCACCAAGACAGCTGTTGCCACATACATTTTTATTCGATGCTTATTGTACAATGCAATGCTTATTACCAAGAAGACACAGACAATTCTATCCTACAAAGCTATCATTTTATCAAAAGGAGTGTGCTAAGATCTAATATTGAATCTAATATTAAATCTATCAACTATCTTTAGGTTGCAGTTTGTGTCTTATTTGACATTGCTGGGTTTTCTTAGCAACTTAAAAGACCCTGCATTTCTCCAGATTACTTTAAATTTTTCGACTTTTATTTTTTAAACATTTTAATTACAATATAATTATTTTATTTTTATACATTTTAATTAAAATACAATTCATCAATTTCCCCTTTGTGTTGCATTCATTGAGCATCTCCCAAGTCCCATCCCTCTAGCTCCTCCCACGCTCCTCATTGTTAACATTTCTTTCTTTCATTATTATGGCTGCATACATATGCATGTGTATATGTATGCTGAAATATATAACTACAATCTGCCTAGTCCATTTTTGTTGTTTGTGTGTATAAGGCTTCAAGGCTGACCTCTTTGTATTGGCTCAACCCCCTAACTGGCTATCCAATACAAAGAGGTCAGCATTGAAACCTTATACACACAGGATCCCAGCACTACACAAAGAACTCCTCTCTGCAGTCATTTGTTGCATACAGTTCTTTGTCTAGTGTTGGAATCCTGTAAGATTATCCCTATTCTGTATTAGTATGTCTATTGATATTGCCATTGTTCAGGGCTTTTTATGCTGTTATTTTTTTTCTTTTGGTTTTTCGAGACAGGGTTTCTCTGTGGCTTTGGAGGCTGTCTTGGAACTAGCTCTTGTAGATCCGGTGGGTCTCGAATTCACAGAGATCCACCTGCCTCTGCCTCCTGAGTGCTGGGATTAAAGGCATGCACCTTATGCCGCTATTTCCATGAGAGACTTTTCATAAAAGGGACTCTGGTGATTTGACTCTGGTAATCTTTCCACCTGCTCTGAATACCCAGAAGTTACTCCTATTGACCACAACAATGACCAGAATGCCAACATATCTACAAAGGTGCAGTAAGTGGCACTCACATGTTTGTAACCAACAGCTGTCTAATTGGACTTGAAGTAGTTCATTCAACAGGAAATCATCCCTGGTACTAGAAACCTAGCCAAGTTCCCAAGCTCCCAGCGACAATGAGGCCATGCATCTTAGAAGGGAGTCTATTACTGGCACTTTCTAGATGAGCACAATTCTTAGTTATAATCTAAATCTTGTGCTTATATTCACGGGAAAGTGAATATAAGCATCAGATAAGCTTCTCTTCACATTAAATCGAGATGATGACAGTAAAACACAATTGGACACAATGGAGTTGTCCAGGGATTGTGGGGAGCTGAGACCTGATGGATACATCTACATGTGGAAAGTTTATTAAGAGTCAGAATCCCCAGATTTTTTCTTGCGATAACTTAAACTACCTATATGCATATGTTGGGAACAATTATGTTTACAGGACAGCATTTAAACAGTGCCTTGAGAATTTATTCTTTTATTCAAAGGTATGGATTAGTATGGTAAGTCCTTATTGGCACATCCCTGAAAGCTGCGACTCTACGATCCTTTTGGTAGATTTATTGTCAGTCTAAAAATTTAACAGTTAATATCTGAGTTTAAAGGCTGGGCTATGTGCTGGAGAGATTGCTCAGTGGTTAGGACAGCTTACTGCTCTTGCAGAAAATCCAGTTTCTGTTCCCAGCACCCAGATTAGGCAATCCGTGACCAACTTTAACTAGATCCCGGCGGTCTGAGTTTCTGAGGTCACCTATATGCACATGGTACATATAATCTCATGGAGGCACACACAAGTTAAACAAATTTAAAAAATGAAATGAGTGAGTAAAGGATAATATGTGCGTATTAGATTTGTGGGGACAGTTGAAAATAAGTCTGAAAAATATAAATAACATGAAATCCTCCCTCCTGTAAAAACATCATTGCAGTGAGTGCTCAGGCACATTGCTGAGATAGTTCCTCACATGAAAGACATACATTCTCAGATGCTGAGATGTTTCACTGTGAATGAGATTGTGACACTTGGACTTGATAAATGATCTGCTTTACACCTTGCTGGTGGCAGGTCAAGTGCCTTGACTACTGGATGTGCCAATACAATGTCTTAGGACCTGTCTTAGCCTTTTATTGCCATGAAGAGACACTATGACAAAGGCAATTCTTGTAAAGAAAAACATTTCATTGGGATTGTCTTTCTGTTTTAGAAGTTTACTCTATTATGGTCATGGTGATCAGCATGGTTGCATGCAGACAGAATAGTACTGAAGAGGTAGCCCAGCGTTCTCCACCCAGATAGGCAGGTGTTGAGAAGAGAGTGACAATGGACTTGGCTTGCTCCTCTGAAAACTCAAAGCCCACCCCCCAGTGACACACTTCCCCCTATAGGGCCACACTAACTCCAACAAGGCCACACCTACTAATAGTGCTACTCCCTAAGGGCCTGTGGGGGCCATTTTCATTCAAACCATCACAGACCTCTTGGTACACTGGTATTGCAGAGGCCCTGAAGGACTCACATGACTGTACCTGAGTCAGCATCTCCCTGTGACTCTTATTGCTTCTGCTATTTATGGGCAGAATTTTGTCTGAAGAGGGCTCCCCAGTAAACTTGATATGCACATTTGTACCCCAATAAATACAAGAGAACATGATCCCACAAATCCTTCTGATGACTGTATGAAGCATCTTTTAGTCACATACTATTTTACTTATGAATATACCTGAGGAACTGCTTTTAGTTTATTTATTTGACTGTGTATTATTTAGTTAATCTGCCACAATAGTATACAATGCACAAAATCTCGGGGAACAACAAGTCAAACTATTTTATTTCACAAATAGATTTGCAAACTTTTTATTATTCATATTATGATAAAATATACAAGACACAAAATTGTACTTAGTCTTTGAAATGCCTGTCCTGTCCAATATAAACTAATATACAGATCCCAAGATACGGTAAAATTTTGTGACTGAAAATGATTCACACTTTTAGTACCTATTCTGCTTCATCATTTAACAATATCAGGTCTCAAGTTACAATTTTCTCAAGTGAATAAACTTTTTTAACGGATTTTATGGTGCAAAACATACTATAATATCATTGTAATGAGATTTCCTCTTTTACTTTGTTTATAGACATGAAACTGTGAGTTTACTACTTCTATGTAACTTAGTCTTCATATAAGTTGAATAAATATGAAGTCAGATTTTTTATATGTTGATTTTAAAAGGTTAAAGTATTGCAGAGAGGGGGAACAGGGCTGCCCCATTGTGTCTGTCAGTAGGGAAGAGGCCCTACACAAAGCTTGAGAAAAGAACCACTCACTTGGAGGAGTGCACAGGACTTGAATTCAGACTCAGAGCTGCGGGGCTGGAAAGTCTCAGTAGTCATGCAGCATCATCCGGTGACTTTGAGGGGAACGGGTCAGTTTGGGACAAGGCCTGAACACACTGGGCTCCCAGGAAACTTGTGTTCTAGGAGCCTGGAGTTTTTGGATAAGTGGAAAAGCAAGAGGAGCAAGAGGGCTATGGAATGATGGCTTAACTGTTTGCTTTTTATTGCTATTGTGGAAGAGTATACAATGTTCTTTTCTCAAACTTTCATGGGTCAATTTTGTTAAAAACATGTGAGGATGTAGCTGCTCCAATTTTATTCACAGTTGAGTCAATTTTGGAACAACTGCACATGAGGTAACAGTTGAGGGATAGCCATCCTTGAAATTTTTTAAATTTACGACTCATTCTTACCAAGAGATGGTGCTCATGTATCTGTTAAAACTGTTTTGGGAGTGACTAGGAAGAGGAAATGTTTTTCTTTGAATGAATCAGAAGATAAGAAAACAAGACTGTGGAATGAAGATGATATACTTACATATTAACGTCTTACATTTGAAATGCTGACAATTTAAAAGTACAGTTCTCTGAAAATTCATTATTAAATAACACCCTGTCACATGAAAAGTAGCACACCACATTAACCTGCATGTAAACCTAATACAGGCTATTGTGGCCATTCTATTCCATTTATACCAACATGAAAGCTAGAATGGAATTGTAAGAATGACAGAAAAGGAGTGCTGTTAGAGAACAAAATGGTTTAGTAAATTAGTGGCTGTAGATTGTCTTCCAGTGATGGTGACTTCTGTAGTTAGCAAGGTTTCTAGTAATAGTCATGGTGTCCCTGTTGTTGACCAAGTCTTAAGTACAATAAGAGATGTTGGTTGCTGCCAAGGTATGCTTGCCATTACTTCACTGTTAGGATTATCTTGCCTTGGTTGCAGTTAGTGTGGTTCATAGGGGTAAAAGCTAGGTAAGACTGTTGGTTACTTCCCATCTTTAGAAGCAATTGTGATATCTTATGGTACCATGAGAGCTAGTCCTCAGGAGGGGGCATTAAGAGTACACCAATTGGTTGTTCAGTGCCAAATGGTCAGATATGAAGACATACATTAAAAATAGTATTATATGAACTTGACGAGTTATGTTCAGGAATAGATAAATATATACAGCTATACATGCAATACCAATTAGTGAAAAGGAAGGCCATGATTTTCAAGGCGAGTAGGGAGGGGTATACAATAATGTTTGGAGGGAGGAAAATGAAGGTAGAGATGCTGTAATTATATTATTATAATCTAAAAAAGGTTGACAATAAAAAAGTGACAGAAAAGGAAATTATAAAGCACAGAATTAGGAGTTCATTTAAAACTCCAAAGTTTACTTTCTTGATATGAAAAGATTAAGACTTGGCTTTTACATCTTCTAAAGTTGTACAGTTTAGCATCTTCACTAATACTGAATGTCTCTTGTATCCCTGAATTAGCAT